GTCTTTGTAGGACTTGTCCGTCAAGTCGTCAGAGCTAGTCATTTGAGAGTGAAGGTATTGAGAAATATGGAAAATGTGTTTTCGGAAAAAGGTAGACACGGGTTCCTGTGGCGACCTGTAGTGACCTTGTATTTCTAATTCATGCTTTCCTCGGACGCCGCGGGGACAAGCCTTTCAAGGTCACTCTCTGTCTGGCTCACTGGCCACCCACTTCGCAAGGCCAGTGCAGAGAGGAACCTACTACGGGGGAGTTGTTTACGCTCAGTCACTCCCGGACCCGACGATCTATCGTTCGGCTGCAGACCTCCGGACCCGGTGATCTACTTGCCGGACTGCGCCTCTGGACTCCGGCCCATTCATGGCTGGACTTCACTTGTCTGGGAGTCCCTTACCCATTACTCATATTCTACTCCTTCTTACCTTATTAAATCATTCATAAAACTATGGCCTTTCACGCCTTATCATATTCACTAGCTTATAAATGTTGGGATACGTTCAATCGCCTATTATCTGGCCGGACCAAATCGTATCCCACAGACCTTTGGTGCTTCGTGTTGGGTAAGACAGCTATCTCATGATATCAGTCTTCATGACAATAGCAATTGCAGTTTCCTACTGCCTTACCCATAGACATCCGCTCCAAATGGTATATGCGACAGCCATTCCCTCAAATTGTTCCCATTCAGAGGAGAAGTAGATCTCATCGAATACCGGAATGTCCACTTGGTAGATTGGCAGTTACCAGGCAATGAGACTTTTCTCTGTTTTCTGTCCTATGTCGAGTCGATAAGCTACAGGAATGAGGATATTCTAGTCTACCAGAGCGAGTAGTGGGATGCTCAAGAATGGGAGTTAGTGTCTGTTATATTGTTTTGATCGCACTTTTGCGTCCACGGAACACGATCTACTTGTTGGTGCCGCCTCGTACCAGCTTTTTCTGGCCTTCTGTGCGCGAGGAGTTAAACATTGTTTCCTTCAAATAGGGCAGATTACTTATCCCAGGCGGCTACCGAAATCCAGTCAGGCATATTTGGTGGGGAGAGGATTTGAATTAGTCTGGACAACTAACATGCTGCGGCCACTCCTTATGGCTTTTTCCGTTGTGCAGAGAGAGGTGATGGATGGAGATGAAGTAAGAGCGTACCGACAGTTCAACCGTCAATTTCGACTATGTCCATCGCTTGCTCCACAGCATGGTGGAACACGGAAAAGCGACTCGCGCGTGCATTAGTTTTAAATGATAGTAGACCTGCGCAGCATCTACCGCACTTTCTATTCTCTCACCTACCTGAGCCCGGTGTCAAGACACGGGTGGCTGACGCGGCCGAAGCCCTCCCCTAGGCGTTCCATCAACCCCCCCCCTTATATTCGGCAGGTGTTATCGGTGCGCATCTCGAATAACGCCCACTGTACCCTGATCTAGCCTTTTTTTTGGGCCAGCGCATTTAGCACGCGGCCCAATTAGGGGGAATACCGGCTGTGGAGAAACAAACATGGCAGATACCACCATGTGGATTAAACTGTTTGTCAAAGTGATAACCGCTGCGGGGTTGCTAAACAAAGCGCAGCTTAGATGTGCCAGAAAAAGGGCTGGGCGGCAGTTAAGAGTCGTACAGAACAATTATCAAGAATTTTGAGCTCATGGAACGACCGTGAACTAGTACAGTTCACTCACTTAATAAGCACCAACTACCTCACCGGTGGTCTATACGAATCCAGTTCACACTCATTCAGATACCCAACAAGCTCTTAACTTCAGTGTTTGCCCAATGGATCGGGTATTCACGGTCCTCCCCTTGGCACCCATTGGTGCAAAGGTAACCTCAAAAATGCAATTCGT